ACTAGTCGAAACTAACGACATTGACACTTTGGTAATTTTACTATAGCACGTGAGTCGACACATGTTGGGGAAAATTAACTTTTTCAAAAGCTATGAGATTATTTCAAGCATTCATGATTGTTTGGGAATTTTTTGACCACTTTAGTAATTTTTATATCTTTATTATTTCAAGAATTGCTGAATTAATTATGATGTGTTAAGATGATTTAAGGTGTGAATGATATACTATTACATATCGAATTCGAGAGGTCCAAAACCCTAAAAATATTGAGGTAAAATGAGGTGGAATTAATGTTTTGCGATGGAGTTGGGATTCTAGGAATAGATTTCATTTCTCAAATTCTTTAGAAGGAATATCGATCCTAGTGTGATGATTGGTTATGTTGTTTTTAGTTGTGATTGGTGTACATTTATGTGTATAGTTGCTACTATTTTTTTTTTTTTATCGATTGATGATTTATTTGCAAAATTTTTTATATGTTCATAAAATATTGAGGTAAAATAAGATGGAATTAATGTTCTGCTATGAAGTTAGGATTACGGGAATAGATTTCATTTCTCGGATTATTCGGGAGGAGTATCCATCTTAGTGTGATGATAAGGTTGTGTTGTTTTTTGGATATGAATGGTGTAAATTAATATGTACATTGAGGAAAAATAAGATGGAATTAATGTTTTGCGATGGAGTTGGGATTTTGGGAATAGATTTCATTTCTCGGATTATTCGGAATGAGTGTTAGTCTTGGTGTGATGATTGGTTGTGTTGCTTTTTAGTTGTGTGGTGAAAATTTATGTGTATGGTTGCTACTAATTTGTTTTTTTATCAATTGATGTTTTATGTGCCCATAAAATATTGAGGTAAAATAAGGTGGAATTAAAGTTTTGTGATGGAGTTGGGATTCTAGGAATAGATTTCATTTCTTAAATTATTCAAGAGGAATGTCGAGTCCTAGTTTGATGATTGGTTGTGCAATTTGTTGGATGTGATTGGTGCAAATTAATTTATACATTGAGGTAAAATGAGGTGAAATTAATGTTTTAGGATGGAGTTGGGATTACGGGAATAGATTTCATTTCTCAAATTATTTAGAAAGAGCATCGATCCTAGTGTAATGATTGGTTGTGTTGTTTTTTGTATGTGATTGATGCAAATTTATGCGTATGGTTGCTACTAATTTGTTTTTTGATCGATTGATGATTTAAGTGCAACATTTTTTATGTGCCCATTTTTACTTGATGATTTTATATGGAAATTACTTGTTTGGTTGTTTTTTATATGTTTTTGTTTGCTATTCCTAGAAATATGGAAAATTATTTTTGGTTTCTTTTCATTCGTTGTTTGAACAAGTATGGAAAATGATTTGTTTGAATGTTTTGGATTTGATTTTTACCGATTGATGAACTTAAGAAGTATTATGTATCATTGCTTTTGTTTTCATTGGTGACTTTATGAAAAGTTGATTGGTGTCATTTTAGACTCATTTTCATCAATGATTTTATGAAAATGTGATTTGAGTCATCTTTAAACTTTTTTCATTGATGATTTTAATGAAATGTGATTTGTGTTGTCTTTGACCTGTTTTGTTGGTGATTATGTGAAAATTTGAGTTACGTCATCTTCAACCAATTTCGATGATGATTTTTGTGAATACATGTTTTGTGTCGATGTCGATGATTTTGTAAAGATGAGATTTGCATCATCTTCAACCTATTTCATCGACAATCTTATGGAAATTTAATTTGTGTCGTCTTCAATCTGTTTCGTTAATGTTTGTGTGAATATTTTAGCTATGTTGTCTTTGCCTTGTTTTGTTGACAACATTGTAAAAAATTGATTTGTATCATCTTCAACATAATTTTTTGTTGATGAATTTTATGAAATGATATGTCTTTGTTTTCAACAAGATTTTTTGTTAACGAATTTTATGAAATTGTTATGTCTCTATCTTCGGCATGATTTTTTGTTGATGAGTTTTATAAGAATGTTCTATGTCTTTGTCCTCAACTTGGTTTTCCTTCGTGAATTTTATAAGAATGAATTATGTTATTGTCTTCGACTTGGTTTTGTTACTCGGTACATTTTATGAAAAACGATTTTATGACATCGATGTTGCATTTTAAGTAAAGTCCGGGTTTTCATTTCATGTATATTCGGTAAAACCGTGGGCTTTCATTCACACATTCATATGTGGGTTTTATTTTACAATTTTAATCAAAGTCATTAGTTTTTTTTTTTTTTTTTGTGCATTTTAAGTGAAGTTGTGAGCTTTCATTTTACGCATTCAAGCTCGATTTTTTATTTCATGTTTATGATTAAAGTCTTGGGTTTTTATTTCACATATTCATACATGGTTTTGCATTTTACTTTTTTTAATCAAAATTGTGGGTTTTATTAAAAAAAAAACCATTTTTTTCATGTCATGTATTTTGATTAAAATCATAGATTTTCATTTCACATGTTTTTTTATATGTGATTTTCATTTTATGCTTTTATGTATATGAAGACTTTGAAGCCCATTTGGTGATTCGATATGGTTCCATCTTATTTTTCCTTTTTTATTTTTAATATTTATTTACTTTAGAGTGAGTATAAAGTCTTTGACTAGTCAAATTTCAGATCATTCAATTGATTGGTTTTTTATTTAAAAAAAAAAAAACTCAAATAGGCATAGATTTTCATCATAATAAAAATTAGAAATAATGTTTTAATGCACACGAAGCAAATTACCTTAAGTATGATGGAATATAGTGATTTTTATCTTTTTTATATGTAACCAATTTCTTACTTAAAAACTACGAGTAGACCAATCATTTGATTTTTTTGGTGACTAAGACTCCTCTTTATATCCTTACTTAAAAACTTGTCATTTTGATATTTACTTATGACACATATAGACATACTACTCAAAGGCTCTAGTATTGCAACCAGCTATTTTGATGATGGTGAATATTGAATTATGACTAAATAGTTCAAACTTCTTTTAACTTTAAATCATTTGAAAATTAGTCTCTCAACTTCTAATTTATATTGGACCTCTCTCAAGTTATTTTTTATTTGAAGTTGTCTACTTCGTTAGGTTTTCATCAATTCTAATGGTAGAAGTACATGTAGTTAACTTTTTAACTTTTACAATAACTAAAATTATATCAAAACTTATGGATACTTCACTTTTTTTTTACAAAACTTGTTTATTTTCTTCTAAAATATTCTTTAACTGCTTAGTTTTTAACATTGAGAAGGAAAGAAACAAATTTTGGATGAAAACACAAGGCATTTATACGGTTTTGACATGTTTTTAACTATCTAAGAATTGCATTTGCATTGAAAACCAAACAAAATAACTCAATTTCAAATGAAACTAATAATTAAAAAAAGATCTAATCCGAAATAGCAAGTTGAAAGATTGATTCTCAAATGAAATTCATGAAATGTTCGTTCCTATTGATCTTGAATTATTCATGATCATAATTTAAAAAGTTGAATGTTGAATTAATCATCATTTAAAACGTTGAATAATACATGCATTTTTATGGCTTAACAAAAAGTTTTTTTCAAGTACTTTTTATACAATAAATATTTTAGAATAAATAATGAAAATAAGTAATAACAATAAGTTGTGAGAAATTTTAACCAAATATTTTGATTTTTTTTTTAAAAAAAAAACATATTAGTTAGTCTCTCCCATCTTTTCTTGAGAATAATTAACTTCTCTCCTAAAACCTCATTAATGCAACGTTTTTAATGAACGTACAAATAAAAAAAAATTACATAACTTTAATATCATTGGATGTTAAATAGACACGACAATCAATAATCAGTTTTGTCACCACATAACTGGCACAAAAACATATTCCTTACCAGTGGTTCAGTTGACAAGTCACAAATACATTCCTGCTCGCAAATTTCAACATTATGCAGTCGCTTACAAAACTTCAGCAACATTTCAGATACCCAAGTATTACAAGTTTAAATACCCGAGAGAGCACAAAAATGTGCTAAATTCTCTAGTGCAGCAGATTTTCAGTCAAAAATATGAGATCGAGAGAAATACAGCAGAATCATTCGAATTCAGTGCGTGAAAGTAGATAAAGCACATGTTTATTTTATTTTTATTTTCATCAGATTACAGCAAGACCGAGTGTAATAAGGGTAGTCCTGCATCTGGTCGGCAAAATTTCTAGCAGCATTATCATCATACATGTAAAAAGGAATAAAAGCTATTGAATATTTTGCTGTAAGTGATATATCCAGCAAGGTATCTAAAGACAAAAACCAGCAAGAGAAAAGTCAGTATTATAACCCCTTATGCATCATGCATATCATGAAAAGGAACGAACCACCATAAGCTGCAGATCTAGTGTTGAAGACCCCGGGGTCATGATGTGATCTATACAAAAACTCTTCAAAGGGGAATCATATTTTCTGAAAAGAACTACATCTAACATAAAGTTTGAATATAATTAACAAAATTCCCCACTTACAACTCTCACAATATGTGCTTCTGCCTACAACTGGACATTATTTGCCACTCTTTTATGGTATCATATGCACCTTCAATGCATTCGCTCCAACCAACCAAGCAATTGCTGCTCTTTATGTACCAAGCCACCTTCCAGGTAAGATCCATGAGAAAAATGTGAAAAATCCATGGACAGAAACCCTGACAAATATTCAGATGCAAGGGTACCCAAAAGTACCCTTCAAGCTCTTCTGCTAACTGGTTCTTCATGTTAAAAGAAAATCCCTCTTGGTACATGGTTCTTCCCTACACAAATGAAGTTTTTCTCCCTACAAAACCGCCTCACTGTATCATAAAATTCTTGATTATACGTCACGTCTCTCTTTTTTGTCAAAAATTAATGTCCAAAACCAATGCCGCAGTATTGGGTTGAAGTTGCAATATATCACTATAAACAACCCCTCACCACAAAAATGTCAAGCCATGGTGAACTTGAAGCTCTCTGGTCAACAAATAATTCCACAAATTCCTCTTTAAACACTAGTTTCCAGCTTCAAAGAATAGAACCTGAGGTTGCAAGTGTCCTTTCTCACACATGGTAAGAACATCAGTCCAGCTACCAATTACCTATTAATCAGAAGATAAATTGTAAGACAAGATACCAGATAAAACAATAGCCAGACACGAATGAAAATGTACCTTGACAGTCTTGTCATCATACATAATCCACTGACCGTGATTATGACTATAGGCGAAGCAATGATAATGTTGCCCATAATAGCACACCTGAAGTTAAAAGGATCATGAGGAATAAAATAAAGTACAAATTGGTATCCTGACGACCAAAGACCCAATCGTCTATCCAGAACATAAGCAGAAGTAGCAAGACTATTCCAGTAAAGAGAGGGAAAAAAAAAAAAAAAAGACAATTACTGCTCTCCTCATATTCCCTCCCTGGTTCGAATTTTCTCCACTGTCCCCAATAAGATGGTTAAATTTGATTTGTTGTTCTTGAACTGCCATAAAAAAGCACAGCTTACATAGTTGCGCCATTCATTTTGTTTCTCTTATTAGTTGAAGAGCCACATCTAACCTCCTAATCAAAGGCTTAGTATTTACTTCCAGAAAATAGCTTTCTAATTTTCATCTGCATTTTAAAAATACTTCTCTATGGAAAAATAAGAGGACACATTTACTGTTTGTGCATTTAAGACAACAAAAGAAAGGAGATAATAAAATAGATGAAAACAGGGCCCTTGGTTTTAAAGCAGAGAATTCAGAAAATGACTTTTAGTAGTTCTCATTTAAAAATAAATAAATAAATAAAACCTGTTTTCAAGAAAACAGTTTGCATTTTAATTGGTAAAAATGTTTTCCACGTTTGTGTCTTCTATAAAAAATTTCTACAAATTAGGAAAATTTCAACAACTACACCCTCCAGGTTTCCTCATGTTTCCACTTGATGCATTTGATTTTTATATCTTTCTCCTGTTGTCTCTAACAAACTGGTGCTTGCATATTTTCTCACTTTCAGTACTTTTGAATGCTTATCTTTTCACCTTCATATAGAAAACTCATCTTTACTTCTGACATGATTAACAAAACAACCAAACCAATCTTTGCTAGCTAACTGCATATGTAAAGTTTTTAATATCAATATCTCCATCAAAATAACATGATAAATGGTCATTAAATTTTACGTACCACAGAAACCAAGCCACGTATGTTCTTTGGATCCAGACCGCGATAAAAAACACTGATATCTATCTCAGTACTTAGAGCTGCTAATGTTCCTTTTATATCATCAACGCTTTCACAGGTTTTCTGCCAGCCCAGAACTGCAGGCCAAAAGTATGCAAAATTTTGGGTTTCTACATGAGTGAACCACTCTAACTAAGCAAAAATTTGTTAACAATTCAGGAAAACATTCACCTGTTGTAAAAACATGTGGTGCAGTTGACAGAATGTGATGGGTGTAATTGGGCTTCCCACAACCACCAACCTCAGGATCACAAACTAACTGGTGATTCATCTCGACAAGATTTAAAAGCTCATCAAAAGAGCTTTCAGCACACATGACCTGAAAGGAAAAGAAAGAAAAATCAAGGGGCAAAGTAGTTAATAACAGACAATACACTATATGAATTCCTTTTTAAAAAAAAAAAAATCTTAAATACGGAGAAATAAGTAATTGTATAAAATTTGTTTAGCAGCGAAACGTACCTTCATTGTTCGGAGGGCACTGGCATTTATATTATGAAAGAAAGCACTGTACTTCAGATGTCTAGACTCCACACCACAACTCTGGCAATTCATTTGTTCCGAGATGTCCATTCCAAATAGAGAGTGCACTATACAAGCATTCTTTTTTGTACATTCCCAAGACTCCATGCCACTGTGTTCCATTGATTCAGAATTAGAACCATTCAAACCAGAGGTAAATGCTCGATGAAGGCATTCAAATATTACAGCCAGTACTTCAGATGCATCATTCATCTGACCCTGTAAATTCAATTGCGACTAACTCAGGAAAGACATCCTCATATATCAATTCTTACAAGGTATAAAAGAGAGTGGAATGAAAAATCACTGTTAAGAAAACCAAGGGGGACACAGAGAGATCTTAAAAATTACCTCCTGGAAGAAATTACTATTAGGATACAAGTTGCTCAAAGCTATCCTGAGTGATGTAGGCGCAACTGCTTCTCTTCGTGTATCAATGGATGCAACACTCATAGCAGTAAGAATATCATACAAGGCACAAACAACACATGGATCTCCCACATGAACATGCTCTGATCCTGATCTACTCAAGAACTCATCTCGAAACCGTCTTAAATGCCACAAGGACTGAAGTTATACAAGAAGCAAGAAGAAACTATTGAGCACTGACGTGAAATGAAAAGCATGAAAAGCATGCACAAATTGAATAGTGAAATAGCAATGAAAAGCATATATAAATAGAATAGTGAAACAACAGAGATGCTATTGTGCTGAAAATACCTGTATGATAACATTCAGAAAGCAATTGTATTCGCCAATATCATTCTTCAAGCCAGTGCCAAATACATCAGTTCCATCCACAGTTTCAGTTGCAACTTCATCTGGTGAAGTACCAGACTTATCAAGTTCAGAAGAAATTGGTTGTGGTGCTTTCAAACTTGACATCATGGGTATCTTCTGATGTGCTTGAAATGTGTCTGGAAAATCAATGCAAATAGATGAATATAGAGTTTAAGATAAATGGATACAGTTACATTTCTAACCTCACTTCAGAGACGATAGAGAAAGAAAAACAAAGTGCAGAACATGATGGAAAATGCATTCATTTGCCTAAGCCAAATACTTCCTGGCATGATTCAACCAAACTCAACCAACCATTCTAAAGACTAGGTCACAGCCCATTTGATTATAATTTGTAGGAAATATCAGGATATAATTAGATAGGAAATATTTTGTATATTTTTTCTTATTCTGTAGGGATCCTATTCTATCTTCCTATTCTTTAGGAATTCTTTCCTATCTTAGGACTCTCTATATGTGTAGATATATATATATATCATTGTGTAATTAAAACATACTAAAATTATTTTCCCAAATATTATTTTCTTCATGGTATTAGAGCCCTAGGGTTTCTCCAAGGACAATTGTTAAAATCACAGCCTTCATTGCTGCACTTATCTCCTACTTTTTTCTGTATTACGTTTTGCCCCCCTACAATGGCCGACACACAGTCTTCAGAGACCAAAACTCTGAATTCATCTGTGACGCCAATTCCATCGAGTGAGGGAGATCAACCAAGCCGGACCAATTGAGATTTTCAAAATGTTCAAGCTGCTTACCGATTGAATGGAAAAAACTATCTCAAATGGTCTCAATTTGTTTGAACCTTCTTGAAGGGAAGAGGGAAGATGGGGCATCTGCTAGGCACCAGACCAGAAAGGGGGACAGTAGGCTTTGACGCTTGGGATGAGGAAGATTCGACGATTATGTCATGGCTATGGAATTCAATGACTCCAGAAATCAGTGACACTTGCATGTTTCTTCCCTCTGCAAAGGCAATCTGGGATGCTCTCAATCAAACTTATTCTAAAGTTAATGATGCAGCCCTCATTTATGAGATAAAAACCAAAACTGCAGCAATGAAACAGGGGACAAAATCTGTAACCGAGTACGCCAATCTGTTGCAGAACCTATGGCAGGAGCTCGATCACTACAGGACCATCAATTTGAAGTGTAGTAACTGTGCTGTCTCCATGAAAAAATTCATTGAACGTGACCGTGTGTATGATTTTTTAGCAGGATTAAATTCTGATTTTGACTTAATTCGTATTTAGATCTTGGGAAGAACTGATGTTCCCTCCCTTAATGAAACCATATCTATGGTTCGTGCTGAAGAAAGTCGCAGAGGAGTGATGTTAGATTCACCAGCAGTTGAGAGCTCGACACTCCTAAGCTCAAACTCCAAGACTCCAAAATCGGGTTTTTCTCTTGATAAAGTTGTCGTTCAACAGTCACATCCCCAAAAGAACACTTCGAAAGATGATCTATGGTGTACTTATTGTAAAAAACCCAGGCATACTAAGGAGGAGTGCTGAAAATTATACGGCAATCCGTCAACTCACAACCGAGAATGAGGTCAAAGAGGTGGGCAGCAAAGACAATCACAGGGGCAAGCCCATATGACAACACAAAACGCACCGAAGGTATTAGGAGGACTCGGTATGGAAGATCTGGAAAAACTCAAGAGCTTGCTAGAATCCGTGGAAAAACCTGCTACACCTCCTAACCAATCTCAAGGTTCGTGTTCATTAACGCTCTCGGGTAAAACTCCCATCTCCTTTGGATTAAATGTTTTAAATAATGAGTTTCGGAATGCATGGATTTTAGACTCGAGTGCTACGGACCATATGACCCACACATCCAGCTTTTTCAAAACCTATACCCCTTGTCCCAGTAGCCGAAAAATAATTGTAGCCGATGGTACAACAACCATAGTAGCCGGTATTGGAGATATCCAAATTGGTCAAAACATTATGCTAAAAAATGTTCTTCATGTCCCTCGATTATCCATCAATCTTATTTCTATTCATAAACTTATCCAAGAACTGAATTGTCATATTAGCTTTTTTGTTGATCGTTGTGAATTTCGGGATCAAGAGTCGAGGAAGAAGATTGGACTTGCTAAAGAGCACAATAGCCTTTACTACTTCAGTACACCAAGTCAGCAGAGCCCAATTAATTTATCTTCTCCAGTCTCATGTTTTTCACAGTCAAATAAAGATACCATTTGATTGCATCATAGGCGTCTAGATCATTTGTCGTTTTTTACCTTAAAAATAATGTTCCTAAATTTGTTTAAGGGGTTCGATGTTAAAGCTTTTCGGTGTAACATTTGTGAGTTTGCCAAACACACGTGTACCGTTTCCAATAAGCAATAAAAAATCAAGTTTTCCTTTTCCTTTAATTCATAATGACATTTGAGGCCCTTCGTCCATCCAAAACATTACTCGGATCAAAATGGTTTGTTACTTTTATTGATGATTGCACTAGAACTTCCCGGGTTTATCTTCTTAAACAAAAGTCTCATGTCGATCATATTGTTCCCACCTTTATCTTGATGATAAAAAATCAATTTGGGGTATCAGTCAAACGTATTCGATCGGATAATGCTCGTGACTACTTTAATCAAACTTACTCTTTCTATTTTCAAAAAGAGGGTATTATTCACGAGTCATCCCGTGTCATCACTCCATAACAAAACAGATCCATCGAACGTAAAAACCGTCATCTTCTTAAATGTACTAAGGCGTTTTTGTTCCAATAGAATGTTCCTAAAACTTTTTGGGGGAGGCAATTTTAACGTCGGCCTATGTCATAAATAGGATGCCCTCTAAAGTCTTAGATTTCAAAAGTCCACTCGAAAATTTTGTCTCGGTTCTTCCTTGATGTTCGGTCTTCCTTCGAGCTTACCCCTCGTATTTTTGGGTGTACATCCTTTGTTCATGTCCATAATACCACTCGGGGAAAGTTAGATCCTAGAGCCCTTAAATGCATTTTTTTGGGTTATTCGAGTCACTCAAAAAGGATACGAGTGTTATCATCCACCTACTCGGAAGCTCTATGTCTCAACTCGATGTCACTTTTGTTGAAAATAAACCATATTTTTCTACACCTTACATTCCGGGAGAGCTTCCTACAATTGTCGATTCCGATATTGATCTGTCTCTTGCTATTTCTTCATCAAGAGATATAGCTCCTCATGAACAGCCCCTTGATGATCATGTTTACCAATCCACCATTCTCTTGCCCGCAGAAGAAACAGAGGACAATGGTAGATTGATTGATCGGTTTCAGTTTGATAAGGTGTATACAAGGAAAAAAGACGTCATTCCTCGCTCTGTAGCAAGATCAATCACTTGTACCAAGTTCTGAACCCGAGGTAACAATTTCTAACATTTTTTCTCCCTCGTCTAATTCTACACAACCTAAGACTGATCTTGACAAACCTATAGCCTTAAGGAAAGGAACCCACAACCGCACAAAAACACCTTTATACCCACCGGCCAATTTTGTCTTTCAATAATTTTTCTCAAAATCACCGTAGCTATCCGTCCACATTAAACTCAATTGTTATTCCTAACTCTTTCTCCGAAGCTTTATCTAAAGAAGAATGGAGACTTGCCATGAGTGCGAGAGATGGAAGCACCTGGAAAAGAATGGTACTTGGAAATTGGTGCCATCGCCTCAAGGGAAGAAAACGAGTCAACCGTAAATGGGTGTTTGCGATGAAACTTAATGCGGATGGGTCTTTAGAACGATACAAGGCCGGACTGGTTGCCAAGGGTTATACTCAAACATATGAGGTTGATTATCAAGAGACATTTGCTCCGGTAGCAAAGATGAATACGATGCGAATTTTGTTGTCATTGGCGGTCCACTTTGATAGGGAGTTACAACAATATGATGTGAAGAATGCATTTTTACAAGGTAACTTGGAGGAAGATGTTTACATGAGCATTCCACCTCGGTTTCGAGTGGCGGTGATGGGAATCAAGTTTGTAAACTCAAGAAGGCGTTGTATGGTCTCAAACAATCGCCTCGTGCTTGGTTTGGTCGGTTTACTCATGTGATGCTTGCGAATGAATACAAACAAAGCCAAAGAGACCACACTTTATTTATCAAACACACTCGCTTTAGGGAGAGTCACAATTCTGATTGTCTACGTTGATGATATCATTGTAACCGGTAACGATGAAACAGAGAAAGAAGTGTTGAAGCAATGTTTGAACCAAGAGTTTGAAATTAAAGACCTTGGGAGATTGAAATATTTTCTTAGCATAAAAGTGGCTCGGTTTAAGCAAGGAATATTCATCTCACAGCAAAAATATGTTACTGATTTACTCATGGAAACCAAGGTGACAGCAAGCAAACCTGCAACAACTCCAATCGAACAAAATCATCGATTAGGGGAAGCTTTAGGTGATAAGAAGGTGGAGAAGGAAATGTATCGTCTCGTAGGAAAACTCATCTATCTTGCTCATAATAGACCGGACATAGCTTATTCTGTGAGTGTTATTACTCGGTTTATGCATGATCCAAGAGAAGTTCATCTACAAGCTGTTTACGAGTTCTTCGTTATTTGAAAGCTCACCCAAGCAAAGGAATTCTGTGTAAGAAAAAACAGAATATTGATCTAGCAGTTTACACAGATGCTGACTTTGCAAGTTCTCCAGTTGACGGAAGATCGACTACAGGATACTATACTTTTGTTGGAGGAAACTTGATATCTTGGAGGAGTAAAAAACAGGATGTGGTTGCACGATCAAGTGCTGAGGCTGAATTTAGAGCAATGGCAGCGGGTATATGTGAACTATTATGGGTGAAAATCATCTTGGAAGATATGAAGGTTGAATGGTGTGATCCAACGAAGCTCTACCGTGATAATAAATCTGCCATCAGTATAGCGCATAATCCAGAGTGCAGCATGACCGAACTAAACACGGAGAGGTGAACAAACATTTCATTAAGGAAAAGCTCAACGAGTGGATTAATTTATACTCCATATGTTCCTACGGATCTTCAATTGGCGAATGTTCTAACAAAAGGATTAAACAGTCATGCATTTCAGGAAAATATATGCAAGCCGGGAATGGAAGACCTATATTCACCAGCTTAAGGGGGAGTGTAGGAAATATCGGGATATAATTAGATAGGAAATATTTTGTATATTCTTTCCTATTCTATAGGGATCCTATTCTATCTTCCTATTCTTTAGGAATTCTTTCCTATCTTAAGACTCTCTATGTGTATATATATATATATATAGTTGTGTAATTAAAACATACTGAAATTATTTTCCCAAATATTATTTTCTTCATAATTCAGTAAGATGAGGGATTGCTTGACACTAAGACAATATCTCAAAATGCTTTCAAGTCATATGCAAAGATACATTTGACCTCAAGCCTCATAGTGGCCACTTCAAATAACGCCACACATAATTTTCTAAATCTGTGTGGTACAGTACGAACAACATAAACTAACATAATAATATTAGTCATTTTAAATGAGCTAGCAAAAAATCAAAAATACACGGTTGAGTTGAGCAAACAAATTCTTTAATTAATCTAGTAACTCAAATTCCAGCTCCCTAGTGTGACTCGTAGCATACACAGAAACCCAACCAGGAGGGCAATTGCCGGAAAATTAAATGTGAAATCAAGTAGTTAATGATGGGGGCGTGGGCAGCAGCCCTAATTGGGAATTTGGGTGATTGATTAGGGCATTATAGTAATTTCAGATCTGCTGAAAAATCTGAAATTATAGTATTTCTGTTTAAGTATTTTATTAGTTCTAAAATTAGTTTTCCTATTCTAAAATTGGAATAGTTATGGGTTTACCTAGTCTAATTAGGAATAGTTATGTTGAAGGTTTAGGGATCCTTATCCTAATTGGATTTAGACTTCTACAACTCTATAAATTCAACATGTCATCTTTCAATATTCAGTATACAATAATATCAAACAATTTTCAGCAATTTGCTTCTGATTGTGTGACTCAATCTCCCTTAAGTGTAACTCCTAAGAACCCTATGCGTAAAACTTAGGATTTTTCTACCCCCTAGGTGTGACTCCTAGAATCCTACCCACGTACTTCCTCATATTCTAGTAAAAACCCACTTCAACACAACCCTAAACACCTCCAAACAAAACCCAAAAATCAGATCCAGCACAGCCCCTAAGCTGTCCTGCATCAGTTAAGAAAACAATTTATATTAATTTCACAAAGTCAATCAACCCAATAAAGAGAGGAAGCCTTTATTGCCTCCTTTTGCAGTGGCGCATTAAATGTACATGAAAGAAGCAAAGAACTTAGAAAAAATTGTTGCAGACACCATTCCTCCTGCCTACATAGAACTAAACAAACGAAGAGAATCTAAGTTTTTTTTTTCAGCATAGACATCCACCATGACATTCTAGGTTTTCATTGTTAGGGCTTCTTGCTATTTCTTTTATTGAAGAAATTCTACCATGAACCAGATGGGCAGGGGCAGAACCTAATACAATGATAACTTCAATGGCAAAAAAAAAAAAAAAATGGTATAAACTGACCCGCATGTGACACCAATTTTCGATGTAGTTGACCAAAATTTTTTTAGGCACGGGAAACTGAACTTGCCATTAAAATGACTATATGAATAAAGATAAATTTTACAGAACTGGAAAAAAAAGAGTCAGCACGATGGCCTTCTATGCTGTATATCAGAAAATTTTTAGACATTGTCTTGAAGAACTGTCCTATCATACAAAAATATGTAAGAGCTGTCCTATCTTACAAAAACATGGGATAACCTAGCCTAAAATATACATAGGACAAAGTTGGATATTATGCAATTCTACCATTTCTGGAGTATAATAATGTTCAAAAACTTTAAAGAAGCATAGATAATTAATAAATTCAGCATCTATTGCAGTATATATATATATATATATATATATATTGCAGGCTTTAAACCTAGATGCAGAAATCCTCTTGAATGAAAAAGTTATCCAAACTTTACATAGAAGTCCACAAGATCAAACAAGATAGAAAAGTGCAACTGGTAAAGAAGTAGCGTTTCATGGGCCAAAGGGCATCCAACAAAGATAATTGATTATGTTCCCCTAAGGATCATCTAGTTTGCATAGTTAACAATGTACAATCATAAAATGTAGTAAAGTACAACAAAAGCAAGCAAATGATCAAAAGAAATTTACCAAGGCTTTGGCGCACGGCTTTTTCAAGATCAGCTTGAAACCTTTCCTCATCATCCTCCTCTACTTGTAACTGTCTCAGTGTCTTAGTTGCACTGTCTCCCAAATTTAAAGTAACTGATTCACATAAGGAAACCCATACAAAATTAGGTCCAACATGTAGATAATCAACCACAAAATTGCTCAATGCATAATGCTGACAAGCATCTAAAGAAGACCATAGCACAATAGCAAGCAACAAACCAGAAAGAGAGGCCAAAGTGATCATCACCCAACTACTGTATCTTGGAGAATATAATTAAAACGTCAATCCCAGACAATGTGCAAGAGCAGAAGAGAATGTTAAAAACGTAAAAAGCAAAACATTTATGCTACACTTAACATTCATATGAAAACATCAAGAACAACAGACAAATAAACCATAAAGTTACACTGACTTCGCTTCAACAAACTAGAAACCTCTCAAAAAGCTCAATTCAACAAACCAATACTGTTTATCATAATTAAATTTCATGCGTGAAATTAGACCTAGTTTGTTTATAACATCATGATTCACGAACAATTTTTCCAGTGATATGCAGGCAGAGAACAATACACCACCTGATTTTTTTTACTATTACCATATTAAAAAAGAAGGGTAATTATCTTGGTCTATACCCAAAACATCTTCTCTTTGTGAAAATGTAACTGAATGAATTCGCTACTTCCTTTTCTTTTGCACCACGCTTGGATTTTATGCTAGAATGTATTTTCAATGGCTGGGATCTATTGGATGGCCCAAGTAAGGTGTGCAGGCTTGGAAAGAATATATAGGAGCAGGAAGAAAAAACTTGCCTTAACTACTACAACGATTCTTTGTCTTGAGTATAGCAATGTAACAAGAGGGCTTTTGAAGGAGAGAATTTCCTCTCTGTCAATTTAGATAGGTGGATTAAAACTCTACATTAACTTTTGTTATATACAGAAATATTTGGGAGATTGTCTTTTCATTTATAATTTTTTTTTTTTTTTAGATTCACTCTCTTGCCTTTGTTTTTCAAGGAATCACTCTCTTGTAAATGAGTTCAGACTTTTGTACTTAAGTTGCATTCTCTTGGTGCTCTCTAGCAAAGTTTTATCACAAAATTTGTCGATCATCCATCCAGAAGATGAACAAACACTAGTATACAACAGTAAATACAGGAGTGGGCACATCTTCATATGAGACTAGGCCATGATCATTAGAGCCAATTTTGTTTAACACATCACTGCTTCAACAACAACTATGGTTATCATTGAGCAAGTGTTGAGTAATCATAGAATTAGTAGCAGATTCCATTAGAATAATCCCAACAGTATTATGTATTTGCATTAACCCAACCCCCCCCCCCAGGTGTCACCATCCCCCATTGGAGATAGAACTAATCATATTCAGAGCAGGAGCAACAAGATTTTAACTCCTCCTAACAAGTGCGACTCCAGGATTCGAATCCTGCACATTGGCAGAAAATTCGCCTAGCGACCAGCTCGCTTACCGCTGGGCCAACAACTTGTTGATTCTTTGCATTAAAATTTTAATTTCAGTTATCTTCAAGGAAGCATTACGTGTATTGTCATTTTAATAAAAGATGAAGTAAACAATAAAATGAGCTAAGTGAGAAAAAGACAGATTAAAGCTCCTGCTTCAATGGGGTGAGGTGAGGTTGTTTAGAGCAGAAGGAATAAAGATATCACCATAAATTAGATGATAAAAAAAATGATGTGTTATCCTATCTAGGTAATCTTAAATCCACAACCATGATTAAAGCACTTTAGAAGTACATTCTAATGCATGATAACGCTTGATTAAGAATAAAAACAAAAATTAATCATAAGGATTAAACACATACTGCTTCCAACTTCAATATTTTCTGTTTCTGATGACATGGGTTGATTTCTTCCATCAGAAGATCTAGTGGAACTCTTCTGCCGCCTATTTCTCCTTCCTGACCGTCGATCAGAGGGACCACCCTCTGCAATTCCTCCAGTACATGGCTCTGCAAAATAAAGACAATGAAAATCATTTAAGAATATTTCAGCCAGCCCCAGCCTCATACGGAAAATTTATAATATAATGCTAACCCACCACTGGCAATTGTCACAGGCATGCCTTCTAAATTGTTGGACAACCCACTCTTCTGCATCGACTGTTCCTGAAAGTGAAATTTCATACGATTCCATTTGACATTTAATACAAATTTCCTAAACATAGCATTCAAACTTTAAAATAACCTCTGTTTCTCTATTCAAGAAGCACATTTCCAGCGGATATGGATCTAATATTGGTTTTCAATCCCTTTACAATACCTTGACCAAATAAATCTCAAACTAATGCTTACCAATGGCTCATGGGAATCATCTGCACCAGGATCAAAGCAAATATCATGTAGTCCCCCAGACAACTTCTGTGGAAAACTTGCATTAGATTTCTTGTGCTGTTGCTCTGCAAGATGCTTCTGTTTGGCTTCATTCTCTATACGTCTTTGATACTCCAAAGATTCTTCGAGCATTCTTTCCTCCTCTTCAATCTCAAATTTCCGTCTAAAATCATCCTCCTGTTGTTTCAAGTCATCACCGCTAACAGAAAGAAGAGACTGAGAATCTGGATAGTCGCCATCAAATGCAACTGGAAAAGAACTGCAGAAAGGAATGAATCAAACATTATAAAAGCATGCAGTATGCATTTGTATGTCTAACAAAAAGGCACAAATTAAAATGGCAGAAACAGAAGAGGTGCAAAGCAAAACAAAGAGATGGGCATACCCCCTCCCATTAGTCACATCTTGGAGCAATTGCTGCTCGCTAGCAGCGGCAACCTACAAAGCAGAATACATTAGACTGGCATAATGGAGTGTGTCTATGTCTTCTATGAAGTAAGAAGCCTTCAGAGAAAGAACCATAACCAAAAAAGAGAAATTTGAAACCTTTGAGTCCTTGGTTTTCTTGTACTCTTTGTTCTTTCTCTTATCCTTCCCCTTCTCCAGTGTATTTCTTGAATTATCACTTCGTCCTTGGGTACCCTTATTAGAATCAAGGGCAAGCTCCGCCAAAAATGCTTCTCTTGCAGCATCAGACTTCTCTGTGGCATCCTTCTCAGCTAGATCCTCCAAGTGTGCCTGCAAATGAGAGAATAGCCCAAAATAATAAGCAAAGTTACAACCGCAAGAGATGAGAAACACCCTATTTATCACCGCCCAATACAAACCCTCATGTATGACTTCACTAGAGGCAGCAAGATTGATCGATAATCAAGGGCAGAAACCGACTCGAGCTTGAGTTCCAACTGCTGCATTCCAGTAACATTCCGCATGATTCGGGCATCAATTTTGCTGAGCTGCATGGCAATAAAATTGAGTCAAAGTCGCAAGGATCATTATCAATTTTAAGAAGTGGTTCAAGAACTAACAAACTGACCTCTATTGACAACTGTTCTTTTTGTCGCTGAATAGCAATTTCTATGCAAGTTTCCACTTGATGCATGTGGTCTTTGGTTCTCCAATTACCATCTTCACCAGATTCCAAGTCACAAAACTGAGAAGTTATACCACCATAAGTATCCTCGTATCCAAATTGATTGACATTCAGAGTATCTGCTTCTTTTAACACATTTGATATAGCATCTAACTCAAATCTACTGCTAATGAACAGAGCATCATGCTCGTTCTCAACAAGCTGCTCCTTCCGCTGCCTAAGAACAGAATCATAGCTTTTATGTTCAACCAGCGTATCAGTCTCCCTCTTCTTACCTTCTTCAAGACAGAGATCCTCCACAGCCTGCAATGCTTGCTCATAGCTTAAATGTTCACATTTCCTCTCACAAAGGCTCTGCAGATGGTAAAACTCTTTCTCAAGTGTCTGGAGAATTTCCATCCCTTGATGCATTTTCTCTTCTTTCGTACGGATCCATGATTGTAATTGCTCTCCACTAGAAAGGCCTGCAAATATCCATGATAGCAAAGCATCAACATCAGGTAGAACCCCGTTTCCATAGCCAACAATAGCCGATGTTGCTGTGGTGGCATCATCATCAGGACATGTGCTGGGAGCATATTCCAATGGCAATAAACGTTCATCCAAGTAGAGACAAGATGCGTCACCATTAAGAACAATCTTCTCTTTAATTTCAGGACCTTTAGCACCAGAATTCGAGTCATCTACAACACTACTTTTCTCGGGAGACCTGCCCAAACCACAAGAATGAGATAGTTCCTGTAAGAATTTGAGTATCTTTTTGAGTTGGGATGCTCCCAGAAAGCAAATGCACATGGGTGTCTGGCCCACACCATGGTTCAGAAGCTGAGAACCAGAAGCAAGACTCTGTAGCTCATCCATTGTAAATTGTATCACCTTGTTAAGATGACTTGCAGCAAGATATTTATGTCTAATAAGTGCCTCAAATGCATCATGAATTTTTTCAAGGAGCTTAGCTCGCTCGGAATCCTCTGATATTGGCCAGCTATCAATAGTGCATGCAATAGACGATTGGTTCCCATCATATTCTTTACCTTCAATGTTGTTAACTTTATCAGAGTTGTTGCCGCTCACAGGACAACTGTTATAACCATCACTCAAAGTTTCCTTCTCTGGAGAAGAATCCCATGCATCTTTGAAACAATCGTCATTGCCCTCATTATGGTTCTCTGAGCAAAAATCCTCAGCAAGTTCTCCATTCTGGCATTTCCCTTGATTCCGAAGCATCTTAACCGCAGAGGAAATGTCCAATGGTTTCCAGGAGCAATTAAGAATCATCTCAATCCACTCATTGTCAGTACCCTGAGGCAAAACTTCCTGCATCTTCGGCATAAGACTCCCCATGTGCTCTTGCACGACATGATGCATATGACTATCTCCATCCACAAACTTTTCATTGCATCGACAACAGACCCAAAACCTCCAGCTCTTATTCTCCTCGCCATAAGACAAAGCCTCATTCAAAATGTCACTCGCCAATCCATCCTTGGATGACCCAAAATAACTCTTCAAATTACTGACCTTAATTTTCAACAACTCCCTCTTCATTTCCAAGTTCATCGAATTCCAATAGGACCGAACCCAATCCTTTCTCTCAGTGTTAGTCCCATTCTTCCTCGCATTACTCCCATACTTCCTCCTATCTCCTCTCCTATCACTCCCCGGCATTAGCTCCACTCCTTTATCACTCCTCTCTCCCTCACTCTGTCCCAAACCCATCTCTGACTTCTGCTGCTGCAACAACCTGGCAGCAGCAACCCTAACTTCAATCTCTTTCCTCCTCTCTTCCTGTGTCTTAGTCGCTTTCTTAATCTCATTCGGGCGCCTAGTCTGCACCAACCTAATTTCCATTGGATCTTCAGCAGCTCTTCGTATAGGTATTAACCTAATCTCTTCACCAGTTCCCAAATTCTTCATCCAAGTAGAAATCGAAGCAATGTTCGACTTCTGCTGCAAATTTTTCAACTCGCCCTGCACATGAGCAATCCTCCCTTCCGCAGTAGCTATCTTCTGTTGACTCTCCTCCTGCAAACTCTCCTTCGCAGGATCAATAGGATTCTCAATTTTCAGAGCACGGTCACACTCTTTCATTACCTCTTCATACTCTTTCCCATCATTCGCTGCCTCGTAGAGCAAATTCGCATAAAAATGAGCGAATTCGATCGAATTCGGAGACAATTCCGCGGCTCTACGAGCAGCTTCAATTGCGTTCTTTAAATGCCGCTGCTTAGTGCTAGGGTCATCGATTATCGAAGCAACTTTAACACACACCGTACCATGAACACGGTGGATTAAGGCGTCGCCGCCGTGTTTAGCGCATGAATCCTTCATGATACGTAGGGCTTTCGTGTGGTTTCCACGACGGAGCGCATTTAAGGAGCGATCGCATTCTTGCTTGATTGTCAAACCGTCCGATTCTGGAGAAACAGTGTTAGGAGACGGCTGGTGGTCGGGTTCGTCCGACGCCGCCATGGGCGCCGCCGCAGACGGTGATGGAGGGTGTTTGGTGCGAGAAGTTTGGGGACGTTTTCTATTCCCCATGGGAATTTGATTGGCTTGTTACAAAAAGAATAGATGCATGTAGAGTGTGGAAAATGCGCGAGTGTTAAGAGAGACGTACTTGGAAAAGAGTGGGGTCAAGAGGGGATTTCACTGGGGTGTTCCGGTGACGATGACCGGTGGTTGAGGGATCGGCGATGAAATCTAGGGAGAGAGTGAGTGAGCAAGAGAAAGTGGGTGAGTTACAGACAGGCACCTACCCATGGGAAGCAAGCAAGGGGAAGAGGGTGAGGCGAGTTTTGATGAGGAAATTGAGCAATTAAGGGTATTGATGTTGTTTAGCACCACTTTTTTTATTTACTCCTATTAATTACAGGATGTAACTCTGTCGTCCTTTTTCATCTTTTTCTTATAATTATTACTTCACTATTATTGTTATTTTGTAATTTCAGGGTGGAAGAACGTTAAGTGTGAAGAGCGTGTGTGCATATATATATATATATATAATTAGCAATATGATTTGTAATTTATATGATATCATAGATCTTGCTATGTTATTTACAATTATAGTGCATTCAAGCTTACAAAATAATAAATAAAATGTTTATGATATAATAAGGGTAATAATATTAAATATTTATTTATTTATATAGTAATAACTTATTTTATCACTCAGTAATTTAATTAATTATTATGTAATTATACTGGCTACTAATATTATTGAACAATTACGATTCAGAATGTGCATTGTTATTTTTAAAAGAAAAATAAATATTATTTACTTTTTTACAAATAAGTGATTACGAATTCTTAAATAATTTTATTAAATAAACTGTAAAAAAAAATCTTATCTTTTTATAATGTAGCTAATTACTCCATAATCAGGATAATTGCAAATATTTAAGTTCAATTTCAATAAATAAATAAATAATTGTTACCTTAGAAAAAAATATTTAAACTTTAAAGAAACCATTAGTACGTAATTATAAAATCATAGATATTTAGGCTTAATGCATTCTAAACACTGTTTTATTATTTTGTAAACTTGAAGGTACATAATTGTAGCATTACTTTGAAGTAACATTAGCAAGCGCATATATATATCTAATTGAATAAAATAAAAATTTTACTAATAAAATTGATGCTTATTTGGCATGTTTCATTTAAGAAAATAAGAGGCTGGTTTGACTTATTTACAAAGAGAACTTGTTTTTGGTTCTCTTGACTTATGTATATAGAAAATAGGTAAAATCTGTCTTTATGTAATATTTAAAATTTTTTATATATTTTTAGGTTTTTAATTTCTTATTTCATTAGAAAATATTTATAATATTTAGTCTGTCATTCCAATCAATTTTTTCAACCAAATGAATTTTTTTATTATTGAAATGCAAAAAAAAAAAAAAAAAAAAAGCCCTACAATATGGAACATGTAAGCCATATGATTTTAAATGTTTTTATTTTTTATTTTATTTTTTTTATTTTAGTAAAGAGCATTTCAGTAAAAAAAAAAATTATATAGTCGAAAAATTTGATAGAAAGAATAGATTGAACATTTCAAAAAATATCATGGACAAATGAGATGCCATTGAAAATTTAAAGACAAATGAGAGATTTTAAGTATTATATAAGGATAGATTGATATATTTATCTTATAGAAAATTTGAAAATAAGAAAAACACAAAATTGAATACTTGATGTAATTGTATTGGTTCTAATTAAACTTTTTTTATTCGCATTTATTTTACTATGTTGTTTATTGCTTTTAATTTTAACTAAAAACGTATCAAAAAAATTGACCAACCAAAAAATTTATGACTTTCAATATTATAAATAATTTGTATAAAGCACGACAATTTAAAAGAAAATTAGTGAAATATTAGGGACTAGAAAAATAATTTTTTCAATTTCTAATTTAACTTTTTTTACATGTGATGGTAATGTGATATGAACTTGTTTTATACTGATAATGTTTTTTTAAGACATGATATTGTAAACTCTTTTCTTTTTCCATATGTTTAATTGTTTCCTCTATTGAAAACTTTTTTTTTTTTCAATCTTTGCATTTTAGAGTCATTTTTTAAGATATATAATTTCTTTTCTTGCATGTTAATTTTGTTTGATAATTCCAAAAGTAGAGAACAATGAGGAAAAAAAAAACACTTGGCATATTCACACACAAAATACATTACTACGTTATATTACATGTGCCATGAAAAATCAAACATCATGCGGTTCAAGTATCAATACATATTGTATAGGGCTTTCACAAAGACAACAAATAAAGCCAACACTACGTTATCTAATTTTCACTTTTGTTCTACACTTCTTGAAAGGACCACATAATTTAATAGCGGTTATCAATTAACACCTCATATCTCTAAAACAAAACAGATTTCACAAAATCACTAACAAATAACATAATTTCAATCCATCAATTAATGTATTTATCTCCTAATACTTCAATCACATCCAAACACCTTGCACATGAAGTTTCTAATTATTTCCATCCAATAACAATTGCTCTTTGTTCCGATGTGATGATTCTATTTCAAGACATATTTGTACTTTATCTTTTTATGTCATTTTTTTTTAACATTATCTCGAAGCACCTTTTATGATTCTAAAGCTCGTTCTACTTTCTAGTCTTTTGCTTCAAACATCATTTCCACAATCCAATATCCAAGTTCTTTGTCCCGAGTAATAGTCAACAACAAATGCATGAACTGCCATTAGAAGGTAATTGATTATATCTAGTTACAAAAGTTTCTAATTTTCATCAATCTCATCCATGTTAAAGAAATAAAGAATGTCAAGTAATACCATAACTTCCTAATTCGTTCTAATACCCGAATTCAAGTAATCTCATGCATGTTCAAACAATCAATTTCGGCTATTATTATTTTTTCATGTCTTTATAATTTAAATCTTTTCATGTCTTTATAAACACATAATTTAATAGCGGTTATCAATTAACACCTCATATCTCTAAAACAAAACAGATTTCACAAAATCACTAACAAATAACATAATTTCAATCCATCAATTAATATATTTATCCCCTAATACTTTAATCACATCCAAACACCTTACACATGAAGTATCTAATTATTTCCATCCAATAATAATTGCTCTTTGTTCCGATGTGATGATTCTATTTCAAGACATATTTTCCGTACTTTATCTTTTTATATCATTTTTTTAACATCATCTCGAAGCACCTTTTGTGATCATAAGTCGTTCTACTTTCTAGTCTTTTGCTTCAAACATCATTTCCACAATCCAATATCCAAGTTCATTGTCCCGAGCAATAGTCAACAACAAATGCATGAATTGCCATTAGAAGGTAATTAATTATATCTAGTTACAAAAGTTGCTAATTTTCATCAATCTCATCCATGTTAAAGAAATAAAGAATGTCAAGTAATACCATAACTTCCCAATTCGTTCTAATACCCGAATTCAAGTAATCTCATGCATGTTCAAACAATCAATTTCGGCTTTTTTTTTTTTTGATGTCTTTATAAACACATAATTTAATAGCGGTTATCAATTAACACCTCATATCTCTAAAACAAAACAGATTTCACAAAATCACTAACAAATAACATAATTTCAATCCATCAATTAATGTATTTATCTCCTAATACTTCAATCACATCCAAACACCTTACACATGAAGTTTTTAATTATTTCCATCCAATAACAATTGCTCTTTGTTCCAATGTGATGATTTTATTTCAAGACATCTTTTTTCGTATTGTATCTTTTATGTAATTTTTTTTTTAACATCATCTCAAAGCACCTTTTGTGATTCTAAATTGTTCTACTTTCTAGTCTTTTGCTTCAAACATCATTTCCACAATCCAATATCCAAGTTCCTTGTCCCGAGCAATAGTCAACAACAAATGCATGAACTGCCATTAGAAGGTAATTAATTATATCTAGTTACAAAAATTGCTAATTTTCATCAATCTCATCCATGTTAAAGAAATAAAGAATGTCAAGTAATACCATAACTTCCCAATTCATTCTAATGCCCGAATTTAAGTAATCTCATGCATGTTCAAACAATCAATTTTGGATTTTTTTTTTTATGTCTTTATAATTTAAATCTTTTTATAGCTAATATCATAATTTTATTCACAACCAACAAGTAGATCATCTAAATCAATCAATTAAACATGTATCAATATATGTAATCTATTACATGTGTTAGTATTTGTGGTAAATAATATTGCATTTGAGACAATATATTAAAAACTTACAATTTTATAGAATTTATTGAAAACTATAAACATTGAGAGGACAAATATGGTTTGATAAAGGTTTAAATTTTGTTATTTCACAAAAAAAATAAAAATTATTTATGTTGATTTCTTACATTTTATTTTTCTTTCTATATTGCTTGATTACTTGATGTTGATTCTCTTTTATTCTTTTTATTATTCTAATAATTTTGGATTTTGTCTTATAGTGACGAATTAAAAATCTAGGATTATAGATGTTTAATATGTGTGTGTCTATATAATTAACATTCAAACATAAAAAATAAAAATAAAATGACATGCATCGCATGTTTGTCATTAGAAATAAAAGATATTTAAATTGATGTTTACTTTATGTTTTAGAAAAAAAAATGATGTTTATTTAAATACATGTTTTATTTATGAAAATAAAAGGTCATCTTGATTTATGCATAAAATGATTAATAAAAAAGAAAAAATTGGATACTTAACATAATTGTATTAGTTGTAATTAAAATTCACATTTACTTTTTGAATATTTGTTGTTAATTGCTTTATATTTTTTTTAAAAAAAATCATAGCTTCTAATGGAATGTTAAAAAAAATTATGAAAGCATGAATATTTTAAAGAAAATTAGTGAAATATTTCACAACAAATAAATTTTTTATCAATTTTTAATTTTATTATTAAAAGTACAATAATAATGTGAATTAAATCATTTTGTATTTTTTTTGTAGCAATTATTGCTTTTTGTATGTTTTTTGAGACCTTGTGTTATGATACGTTTTTTTTTT